TACTTCTCATACTGTTTACAAAAGATAAAATGTTGGTTTGCTGTTTATTTGATTATATGGCAGTAAAACTCTAATAAAATTATCACCTTTACAGTCTGGGGGGTATTTCTCTTTCAGTTAAGAATAATTCGGGGATTCTTTTTCCTTTTGGTAAAAAATTACTCTTCTCCTGAAAAGAAGTTGCACAGATGTCTAATGATCCTGTACTTTATACTTGTCAATATACACTATTAGCAGCAGAGATACCCTCTATTTTTTGGGGCCAGAATTGATGTATCCTTCCTGAAGTTTTGTGAGACCACTATATACTGCAAAATAAAAATATATATATATTTATTACTTGTGTGCACGTGAGGCTATGGGCATGATTCTGATCTAATCCTCTGATGGGGCATTTAATAATATTATTACTTCACTGATCCAGACCAACATGTACCATGGTCAATAAATAAAATGAGGTAAAAATGTCTGCTCCTCTAGTACCTGGTCAGGTTCCTAGTCTGTAATAATCTAGACCTGAGTAACCAGTTGTCCAAATTAGGACAGGGTTGGGAGAAGGAGCCTAGAGGTGAGTGAGGCATTAAGAGTATGAAAACGAAGGTAACTAATGATGTGTCCAAAGGTAAGGGACAGACAGTTGGAAAGCAAGGACTGGAAGAAGCAGAGAATTGGACTAACTCCCTGAAGCAAACATTCAGATATTCATGGTGGCTTTATTTCATAGGTGTCTATGGAGTCTTGGGGGAAAAGTTAAAAGAACCTGCACTAAGCAGACACAGACACTACGCAAGCTTAGTAAAGGGGTCTCATCCAATTCTTCATGCTATTCATCTAAGCAAGCATTAATTCAGAGTCTACATAAGGCCCATGGCTACAGATTTCTGCTTTTAGGAAAGCCAGATCCAACAACACAAATATATTTTATATTTATTTCACCAGTGTATAAAGGGAAATCACTGATGATTTGAAGGAGAAGCCACAGATCTTCCATCTTGGCTTGCCTACAAACAACCTCGTATGTACCTTTTTTAGTGGTCTCACACTGACTCCTCTAATGTCTTTTCACCATATTCCTACCTACTGAAAAATCCCATGGACTGTGGGACCATGTGCTCAAGTGTAGCAGTTATTTTCTTTTCTTCTGGAGGGATTAAGGGGTAGAGTTTTAAAAGGCAAATAATTAAACAAAAAAAATGTAATATTATGGTCTGTATTTAAGGAACAACAGTGATGTTCATTTTATAAATTAGAGAAAATAAAATGTAACAAAATCTGTGTAGCTGGGGGAAAGGCAGAGTTTTAGTTGTTCCTGGTAAGTGATGGATGATTACTATATTGGAATCTGGAGAAAGGCTGCATTCTAGCTAAGGTTGAGTTACAAATGGATTAGAAAAATAATCCTGTTAGGATACAAGAAGAGGAAACAGAATGTTTGCTGGCAGTTTAGTAATCCAACAATAAATGTGCATGCCTCAAGAAAGTACAAATGTTTGTCTTGTGAAGATATAGCCCCCAGACCCCATCATTAAATCAAAATCCCAATCAGGGCATCACCTGTGCCACCATCTTGTGATGCTTTAGTTAGTTGGTTGACCATTCTTTTTCCCCAAAATGAATTGCCTCTGATAAGAAGGGCCAAAGGCAGTTTTAACCCTTCCCTACTGGCATTAATATACCTAGGCTTGTAGAATCAATGGTGCTAAGGGACAGAAGATGTGCTTTGGGATTCTCTACATCTGGGTTTTAAATCCAGACTCTCCACTATTTCAACCACTGCCAGTTAACTAATGACATCACCCTGGGCATAGTACTCACATTCTATTGCCTTATTGTTCTTCTGTAAAATGAAGATAAGAATGCCTACCTCAAAAAAATTTAATCATACATGTGATAATAAATGTAACATTGTCCACCTAAAAGAAGGCCTGAAACATACCAGCAGCTCAATAATGTGCTCTCTGATACGGATCTTAAACAATTCTTGGAGGCTAAAAATACTTCATTGGGTTTTAAGGAAACCTATGTGGACAAGCAATGCTAATGAAAAATATATTGAGATTAACTCTTCCTGGAAAAAAGCAATGATAGCACTTTTCATCATTTTTTGTTGATTTATTTAAAATTCCATGAAAAAGAACAAATAAAAGCATCTTTTCGAGTCTTAGGTGACAATACATTTTAGAAAGATTCTGTGATAAATTTTGGAAAGAGAAAGAAAACTCTCAGGCTAGGGGAAATGCAATAGAAATTAGGAGAACAAATAAACAGAGAAATGGAAACTGAACAATTTTGTAAAAAGGAAGAGAGAGAAGAAAAAAAAGCAAAAAAGGGAATAAATGGCAAAGCTAAAATACAAGGTTTAATATCTTTATCAAGCATTAAAAAACAACCTGTGAGTTATAACAACAAATACTCACCTAAAATTCTGGGACCTTTTCCAAGCTACTCTAAAATTAAGAACTTACGGAATTTTGCTCATTACACTCCCTTTGTAAGTCATTAGTAAGGAAAAATAATATGTTACTATTATTTTTTAATCTCAAAATGAATCATTCAAAAGTGAGTCTCTGAAAATAGATTCTGCTGTCTCAAATTAAACAAGCTACTGAAAATTATTATTTTGAAACCTACTTATGCCCTTGTACCAACTGTTCTGTTATATAAAAAAATATTTAAATTTAGGAAAAAATAATTTTGGGGTCTTCTTTGGTTTTTTGAAACCAGGTGGCTCATAGTGTAAAAAATAACATCCGTGTCCAAAGCTCCTTTGAGAATTGCAGAAAAGAACCATAGGATGTTAGTGCGAAAGGGATCTGAGGCACTTGTGTTTTATGGATTAGGTCACTGAAGCCCAAAAAGGCCAACCGTTCTTTCATGTGGGTGCTCTGGTCAAAAAATGTAGCAAAGAGCAGCTATTCAAGGAGGAAAAAAAAAATCCAAATCTGAATCATAGAAAGTAACTTTATCGGAATTATCAACACAATCAGCCTTTGGAAGAACTGTATCTATGCAAATATGTGTCTGAGTATGGGCAGCAGGCATTGTAGATTGAGTGAAAACATTTGCTTCTCTGCATGACTCTGAGTAGAAATAAAGGAAACACTGATTTTTTTTTCGTCCATAAATGTAGAAAATGCTTGACTAATCTCTGATTGCTATTTTGCCCCCATAGTCTTGCCTATTATTAGGTTTCTTAGCAAATCAGATTCTTTCATTTGCAGTGGCTATAATCACGTGAATTACAGGTTTCATTTAGACTCATCTCACCTCTCCCAGTGGGAAGTATCCTTCTATCACTTTCAGCAGAGAAAAATAACAGCTGCCAATATGAATGAGGAATCAAGAATGTTCAATTACACAGCTGATCTCTGTTATCTGTGAACATTCAAGGACCTTGTACCTTGCTCAGAGCTGTGTCCTGCTGAAAAAAATTCACTGTGACTGTTTGATTTCTAGAATGTCCTTTTGGGTAATCTGCATGCTGATAGTTATCAAGCCCTGTTATAACCTGCATTCTGTCTGTTATCAGAAACTACACCTTTGCTTCTCTAGGCTATTAATCTTCATGAGACCTTAGAATTTCTGAACACTATTGAAACTTGAAACCAGCCTATAGTGTTTAATGAAGTTTCATTTCCAGTGTATTTCGACAATTCCATTTCAATTCTGTATTCTAAATGTTTACACAAGAAGCTTAAGAAAACACTTTTAGAATCTAACCATAAAGGTGGACAACATGGAGAAATCACATCTGTACATATATAGGCCATACTCATTAAATTGTTTTGAGGATCAAGGGAAAGAGGAGAGAGGGAAAGGAACATTGATCTGTAAAATATATGGCAAGATGGGACTCACCGGTCCTATCTTGACAGTTGAAGAACTTGATTAAGTAACTTAGGGCACAACCTAGGCATCATCTTCTCCAAAATACTGTCCCAAATACCTTCTACTCCAAGCTTTAAACTAGGTTAGGTGTGTCTATTGTTACTGTTCTTTCTTAACAACAATAGTAATAATAATTGTCAGGGAAATAAATAATGAATGTTTCAGGGCTTACTCTATGGTGAGCTCTGTAATTAGCATATCCCATGTATCATCTTATTTGGAGCACCCTCTAGAAGTGATGTTGTTTTCAACAAGTTACAGATAAGAAAACTGAGGTGTCGGGAAGTTAAATAATGTCCCAAGATTACAAAAGTGGTAACTGGCTAAACTTGGAATTCAAATTCAATTTTAGCCTGGAACAAGTCCTCTTGCCTAATCCTCTCTGATCTCTACATTACACATTCTTTAGAAGAAGAACCCTCTTCCCATTTATTTTTGTATTATTCAAAGTCTGTGAAATGCTTGGCTCATGTGTACTTAATGTTTGCTGAAAGAATAAACAGAATAATTAGAGCAATCTGAAATGCTAACCAAGTCTGTCTTATGCCAGTTTTTCACACTACACACCCTCTAAAATCAATTTTAAAACAGACTTTAAAAAGGGTACATGCTATTCAAATATAAGGTATTAGTAGAAGTTAGAACATTCACATAAAAGGATGCTTCTGAGTTTGGTTATGATTGGATCTTTTCCTCTCTATATTGAGTTAGGGGTTACTTTAGCAAGTTGGATTCTCAACCGTTCTTAGGGGGACAGAACTAAGCGTGGCTGCTCCATATGCATAAATTTGGACTGAAAGATTTAGAGAAAGGTTGTGGTGGAAGATAAAGTATAAGAAAAAAATGAGAAAATATGAATGAGGTGGGTTGTTTTCCTCTTGTAAACTGCTACTTGTTTTATTAAGCATAGGTCTTCTGCAATATGAAATAGTTCACAAAAGTTTTTAAATAGCCTAAAAATTTAAACATTTAATGATAGATAATTGTTAACCTAAGCCATAATCTAAAACCAAAGAGAAAGCTTCCTTTAGCTTCTAAGACTTTGGAAGCATCGAGAGCTGAACCCTATGGGACAGTAAAGAGATTCACATTTTATATCTGCATTTTTACAGATATCCTTAAGGCATGAAAGTTTATCCTTTCACCAGAGACTACAATTAATATTTCAAGGCTGAATTAGATCTGCTTACCTAAAATGGAACAGAAGACCCAAGGAAAACATTGTCAGGAGAAGGGTATGTAAAAAGACAAGTTACTGCCTAAAAATGTACCCTTAAAAAGTATGAAAACCTTCAACTAGAAAGGATAACACTGCTGACTTTTACCTTAAAAAATGTAATAGAAATTCCTGTCAGGTCTCTTCTGCCTGTGGTGAATATTTAAAATCTAGATACAATATATTCCTTTTGGAGATGGACTATCAAATCACTTGAGAGTCTTTGAATATAAAACACAGAACCAAACAAATCCAAAGCATAATTTAAGACAGTCTTCCACTATAGCTCAGGTTAGTCTTTCCACATCATCAACTTTACCGAAGGCCCTGGTCCGTAGAAAACAAATCAGATATTTAAATATTGTTCATGAGGAAAAAAATAAAAGAATTTCCCTCCACTCTCCCCTGTAGATAGTAGATTACTAAATGGGGTTCGTATATTTAAGAAACATTTCAGAAATAGTTACAGATAGAGAAAGCTCCAGTTATAACCTTGCTATCAAAGAACTAGGCTAAACCATTTTCAATTGACTATATTGAAACTAAAGTAACCTTTATTGCTATAGTTTAGGTATCTGTCCCCTCCAAATCTTACGTTAAAATTTAATCACTAGTGTGGCAGTATTGGGAGGTAGGACATAGTGGGAGATGTTTGGATCCTGGAGGTTGAACCCTCATGAATAGATTAATGCCCTCCTGGTGGGGTGAGTGAGTTTTCGTTATGTTAGTTTCCATGAGAACTGTCTGCTGAAAAGAGCATGGCACTTCTCTCCAACTCGCTCTGCTCTGTTGCTTCCTTTCTTGCTAGGTGGTCTCTGCACAAACTGGTTCCCCTTTACCCCAAGAGTGGAAGCAGCCTGACGTTTTCACCAGATACCCGATCTTCTAACCAGATCATGAGCTGAATAAACCTTTTTTCTTGACAAATTACCGAGTCTCAGGTATTCCTTTATAGCAACACAAAATGAACTAAGACATCTAGGCCTTTTTATAATTGGAATCAACATAGTCAGCTATCTGAGCTGGTACTACATCTGTGACTGGTGTTGGTAATCCAAGACCAACGGGCCAAATCTGGCTTGGTAATTGGATATGGCCCTTGAGCAAAGAATTATTTTTTTTTTTTTGGTTAAATTGCTAAAACGTATTCAAAAAAAGAATATTTTATGTTTAAAAATTATGTGAAATTCAAATTTCAGGGCTCTTAAAGTTATGTTGGAACACAGTCATGCCCATTCATTTATGTACTGTCTATGGCTGCTTTCACTCTACAACAGCCAAGCTGAGTAGATAGAATGGTGTTTGGCCCATGGTGCCTAAAATACTTACTACAGTCTTTTTCAGAAAAAGTTTGTGGATCCTCAATTTATGACATTCCTGATTTTGGAGACAACACCAGTTTCACATATTATCATCTATTATGAGTATATGTGTCCTAATCATTTGAAAAACCTGTTCTCTAACTAGAAATCCCCATCTGAATAGTATAAAATGATTCAACTCTTAAAATAATCAAGTCCATGGAATGAAATAGGCACTTGAAACCGGAATGTATTGCTCTTCATTTTTTTTTCTTTATTGTTTATTTCTTTTGCTCTCCCAGTTCTTGTTTCTCATTCACAGCCCAGTGAAGAGTCCAGATTTTGGCCGTATTTATTTAATATTTGATGATCATAGGATCCTTCACGGTAGAACACCCTTAGGAATAACACGTGGTTCAGCTTATTGGATATGAGCCAGCAGCTGTGCTGAGAATGTCATCGAGGTTCTCTCATGCACATGGGGCTCTGGCAATCCAAACAAAAACGAGACACAATCCCTGCCCTTCCAACGTATAGAAGAACATCACCAAAGCTGGGAAAGCACAAGATGTGTTTGCTAAGTAATCTGCTCCTGCAGTTTCTACACCATTATCGTAGTTATCCATAGGTTCTTGGCAATATATTAAAAAAAGAACAAAATCATTAGTGTTTTATAAAGACAAATTGGTTCATTTTAAAAACAATTATTTTTTCCACATTTGTAATCTACGTTTTAAGTTAAAGCCATATTTATTTCATCAGTGATGACACAGTTATAGCAGACGACACTTGTAGATATTTTAATCCTTTATTGACCTTATTAAGGATATGTCCAAAGCACAGAGCAATAATAATAATAATAATGTGCAAGAAATTCCAAAGTCTGGAAACTGGTTGACTAGACCAAGTAGTGGAATAATGGTTGGAAGAGTTCAAAGGTGAGGTTAGTGTGTTCAAATCACCCAGAGTCATGATTACTAAGTGAAAGAATTTAAATTTAATTTATGAGTCAAAGGGGAGTCATTAAAAGTTTTTGAGCTAGAGAATGACATAATTAAAGCTGTGCTTCAAGAAGATTAATCTGGCAGCAGGAAGGATTGGCTGAGGAAGAGACTGAAATCAGGGAGCACATTTTGAAGACTGTTACTTCCAAACGAGATGTAACGAAGTCCTGAAACCAGGAACTGTCACAGTGGGAATGCGGGAAAAAAAAAAAAAAAAGAACAGATGGGAGACACACATGTGGGGTCAGACTTGATGGGACGCTGTGACTAATTGGATAAGAGAGGTTAGAGAGCAAAAAGAGTCAAAGAAGCCTCCATGTTTAAGTGCTAGGTGACTGGACCAACTTGGGTTCCATCAACAGAAATAGGAGATGGGGAGAAGGAACACATTTGAGAGTGATTGCAAGATGCAATATTAATTCTAAAATAAAAAGCAAAAGCTAATCTAGATTTAAGTCACAGTGTATAGCCACTGAAAACAGGAATTTGACTAGGTAAGTGCTTTAACACTTCATGTCATTTTCACTACACTGCTTAGAGCTATGCCTGCCTACGGCACATACAACAGAAATCTATAGATCTATATTTCCAGAGGACTATAAGTTCACCGTATTTTGCAAATCTAAGCAAGCAGATACAGTGAAGGTTAGTCCCCCTTAACCAACAAAGCAACACAGAGGAAAACTACATTGAAACATCTAACATTCTTACAGATTCCTTAGTTTCAAGACACAAAATTTCATGGGTCTCCAAAATTTCATAGGAAACCTACATTGTTTATGTACATTTCCTGGATCCATCAGCTACTAACTTGGCTCAGAAAAACAGCCAGTATGCTACATTGTAAAATTATCACTGCAACTACCTTAGTTACCAGCACCTAGGACCATGGATCATAAATAATTCTAACAATACTAACCTTCAAGAATGTAATGAATTATGAGCTTTTCATCAGAAGACATGAGGATCAATAGAAGCAGAGGGTTTCTAGATAAGCACATTCTATAATTACTGCTTAGGATTGAATAAATCAATTTAATATCACACTTCAGAAAAGTTTTCAAAATGTATTTTCCCCCAGATTTATTAGAGTAATGGTGTGTGTTGGTTCATGGTTCCATCCCATCTCCTTTTTAATATAACCTTTTAAGGAAATTTAATTTCTACTTCAAAAGGAGTTACATAAAACATCAATTTTCTATAACTGTATTTGACACATTTATGTTTTCTTTTTTTTCCCTGGCAGAGATGAATCAATCATTCAGTTACTTCTCAATTTATCTTATTTTTTTCAGTGAGCCAGCAACTTAAATTTATCAGGCTTCTTTAGCAATTAGATAACAAATAGGTATTTAACTATTCTTTACTTGCAATCTAACAGTTCAGGTAATGAGGCTGAAATAGACTGCATGATGCATGTCAAGCTGGCCATTTCTTTCCAATTTAATATTCCTTTTGCAGAATAATTAAAAACACACACTTGCTGATCACCTACACAGTCCAGAAAATTGTAAATAATGGAACACATCAATGCTAAATGCCAATAACTATTAAAAAAATTCATTTTGATTATCTCTGTTGTAAAAAGCAAATTAAAAATTAACACAGGCCATAACACAAATGCTTGTATTTGTTTTGAGGCCTGTGTGTATTAATATAAATGATTAAAAATTTGCTGGTCTTTGAAAAAATTGTTTGCAATGGAAATAAGAGGAATGCTTACAGCTCAACATTGTAAACGCCTCAAATATTTAATAACTGATGATGTTTTGAATGTGAATAAAGAATCTTGATAAAACTAATGTCGTCTAGCTCTTCAAGTCTTTCTTAGTGTTCCCGTCAACAAGGTATTGTACTCATGACTTTAAAAACATGTGTTACATATTCTATAAGAAAAAAAATAAGAGATGTGTGAATGTACAACAGAAAAAAAATTAGGCATATAAGAGGAAGCTCTTACAGAAGGCGGACTATTCGATGTTAAAGGAAGTTACTCTTTAAAGTTCATAGAACTTCTTTTGTTATTGAATTAAGCTGTATTACCCAAATAGCTTCAAGAACTCAAAGTCAAAAGGGAAATAGCAGGCCTTGGTGGTCCTGCAAACTTTTCACCCAAAGACTTGAAAAGAGAAGCAAGTCCCTCTCCCTTCCTCTCTTAGTTCAGAGTGCCCCATGGAGGCACAACGTCCTGAAGCCAGGGTCCCGAGGGCACATCATTATAACTCAACCCCAAGAGTAATCAGGATATTCAGAAGTCAATGAAGGATTTTTTTCAGGGGAAGATAATCAATAATTACAAAAACAGCACTTTTAGAATTCATTTTCAATCAGGGATAATTTTTAAATGAGATGTTGAAGGAAAAATTTAGAGAGATTACCATGCATCTTGATATCATAAAATTTTTCATCCCTGGCATCTTGTGAATCAGTTTCCCTGTCTTCATTTTTTAATCTTTTAAATTCAGCCAAGTAATTTTCAGAAGACAACATTTCTGTTTTTTAAATATTGGTGATTTAAAAATACCTTTCCTTTTGTTTTTAATCGTATACTTAATGTATAGGGAGCCTGAAAATGGAATGGTGACTGGTCATCTTTTATGAAGTGTTTCTAATAAATTGAGGATTTTATATCAAGAATAGTTTTCCCTATTCCTTGAGCAAAGCAAAGTTACAGAATGAGACTCCAGTCTAACCTTGTAAGCATTAACCAGCATTCTGAATTTTTGCTTGATGCCAAAAGTGTCTGATTCCCCAAATCATTGTAATTTGACTTCAGAAATTAAGAACTTGCATTAAACTACTGATAATTCATACAAGTTCTAGCCCCTAAGTAGCACATATATACACAGTACAGTATTATCTCCTTTACTATTGAATATTGGATGTGACAATTGTATTAATCTCTGAAAAGGATGCTTAGCAAAGCAACTGAAGCTATCCAAATATAGAGATGGCTTTGAATTATCAGTGTCCTAGTGATTACAGTTGTGACTAGAGTTAATAACCAATTTCTACCTTGAAACATGTGCTAAAATTGTTTTCTTGTCTTGAAAATTCTTCTAAGCATAATTTATAACTGGGGATCTTTTTCAGATACTCAGTTCAAAATTGCCTATCCGTCCCCTTGTCTGGGCCCTTCTACCAATTGCATAGTTACTTCATGGCAACTTTTCTGCCAATGTTACAAGTGCGACTAATCCTACCAAAGGGAAGATTTGTGTTAAACCTTTTCAGTAAATCAAGTTTCTGTGCCTGCAACATCCCTCTCAGCTACAGTAAACAATCTTCCCAGGGAGAGGGAGGGTGGAGAGAGAAATAGGAAGTTCTTAGCAGATAGTTCCTGCACTCCAGACACACTGATCCCTTATTGCATGGCTGCTTTTGACTTTATTTTAATCCCACCAGAGGATCCAGGATGATGTAGGCATCTAGCTTAGTACATAACCCAGCCAGTTCAGTAACGAAAAGCTCCTGAATAGCAAACATGAAAATCTTTATAAGTAGTAAACATAGACAGAGACTAGCAGGAGGACAGTAAGTGCTTGATCTCAGACACCATGAAAAATTGCCTCTAGATCAAGAGTGGAATCACACCCCTTTGGTGCACAGACTTAATAACTAAAATAAGTATCCTTTGCTTTTGGAAGGTACATCAACACTAGCCACA